GCACCCGAGCTCACCTAAAGCACTACCCTTTTGAAGTTGACTGAAGTTGGAGATGAAGTCCGTGCAAACGGACCGATCTGGGGTTAGGACCTGACTTAGATGGTCCCTGTGCGGGCTTCCTTGCACAGGTTATAGTGCCCTTCCTGCATAACCAAGAGGTTGATAGCTAGTGTCACTATAATCAAAACTAATGTAGAAAGATATGAGGCTGTCACTTGAAAGCAAACGTAGTGACAATGGCGTCGGGTTAACCGGTCAAATCACATGTTATTAGCTATCATGGGTTTTTAGGTTGGTTGTCGTGGCAAGTTTATTTAAATATTTAATCTATGCCGTTTAGATTTAAGAATTTTAAATAGGTAGTTCGAAATGACTATTACGTGAAAATATTATCATATATTTAGAATAATTTTCAAATAGTTCATTATAATTTTACAATAAGTAACCAGGAATTGCCTCATAAGTACCCCGTTACTGTTTGTTTACATTTAATTACTTACCTAAACCTTAATAGTATACAAGCAAATAATCACGTTATAATATTTGTTTGTGATTGGTTATATTAGATAACTTTGACAGATGTATAATGCGCCCTCTAGTGGTAGCCCTCATTATCATTGCATGATATGAATTTTCCTCTTTGAATTCTCATAAATATATACATCTCAGAAGCTAATAGGTCGTTTACAGAATTGTGCTTATCGGCGGATTAGTTTAATGCAAAAAAATTGAAAACACGTCCACTATTAATTAGAGAACACAAAGCGAACCGGGCAAAATATACCTTAATTCACATCTCACTAAGATTGTTTACCTGTCACTCTTTTAAATCTAATTGAACACTCCCCCAATTCCAAACCAGTTAATTACACCCAAGAAACTTATTCGAGAGCTTTTTTGATATTATAAATTCTATATTTCGCCAACGCGCATTGAACCAAAGTAAATTTACACCACAGACAAGGATTTGGTTCGGCGCGTTTTGGTCCGATGATCGATACGAACATTGTTCAAATTTCGAATTAAAAATGCAGTTCCAATTTTAAACTGACCAATGCTTCAATCACACGTAAAGCTATAGAAAATTCATTTGACCAATCAAATACTTTAATCGATTGTGTGACGCGATTGGTCAGTTCGAATTAAATTCGGCGTTCTTAATTTTAATTAATTATAATAATAATACGTCCAGACCAAATCCGTTTGTTTATGGTGTCCTTTCGCGCAGTTAAATTAGTTATCAGGTGAATGTATTTCTTTTTTGATCTTTAGTTTTAAAAATATTGTTCAAAGGTTTCATGTGCGAGGCTAAGACATACCAATTTTTGTTGTATTTCACTAGCACAGCTCTTTTCTTGACTATAAACCTGTTTCTTTCTTACAACAGTACAACATTTAGTACACTTGAACATATTTAGTTCATCGTATAACATTTTATGTTTCTTTAGCACAAATATAGTTGAAAACTCACAAGTTTTGGATTTAAAATGGTGGAGCAAGAAACTTGTGACGTCAATGGTGGTGTTGTCTGTAGAAATTTTTAAAAGTTCTGCATCTAGGCGATGGTCTAAATCCTCATCAGCATATAGGATGCCGCTTGTATATTTGTCTCACTTCAATGCACGTTGAACGTTGATGTCCCTGTCTAACTCTAACTTGTGTAGTTGTATATGTGTCTGTCTTACTTCTCACCGGAAGATGAGCTGGAGGCCCGCCCCCGCCCTTTCCGCGACCTTCTATCATCTGTTTCTCTTTCGTTCTTTTCCATATCTTGTTTCTGATGTTGTGGATTCTGTAAAATCGGATACAAAGATTTCAATTGCAATATGCAGCTTAAATTCATTAAGAGGGAGCAGAGGAAAAAATCCTAATCTTCGATTTGATTTTAGAGGGGTATATCCACTTTAAAGTTAAAAATAAAATATTGTATGAGTAACTACACGATATATTCAAGCATAGACACTAATCAGAAACATAAAACAATAGTTTCCTCGATAGATAAAAATCACGAAATGACGTCTAATTTTCACATTTTTTCGATTAATCCTCGAAATGCTACAGGTTATTAGGACAAAAATTACATAATTAATTATATTTATGCATGATCGACAACTGTCACTACGGGTTTTTTTTAATCCTTTAGTTTTAGAGTTATTCCGCTAAAACGAATTTGGTACTTTTAATGCGCAAAATACAACATCTCCTGTCGCATGACACGCATACTTCAGGCATATATTTGTCTCACAAATGTGGGCGGAGCCAACGTCAAAACTTTTTTGGCATGAGAGCTCTTAACATTAAGTTGATTGACGTGTACATAAGATTGACGACCTTAGATATTATGTTTAGTAGATGATGATTATACGTTTAGGTTTATTCACAACACGCCCCTGCTCGTATGGCGTTATCGTTGCCCTGATTGCTGATCACCACGATATAATAATATATTTATTTGATCAGTAGAAACAAAGTATTGTTTGTATTAATCGAATAATAATCTAAAATTGATTTGTATAGGAGTGACGTGTTTTCGTAATTTTGTATTCTCTATTTCTAATTTTCTTTCTAACCGACTTCAAAAGCAAAACAGGAGGTCCTCAATCGACTGTATTTTTTTCGTATATATATTACACGATAACTCCGGTGATCTGTGAACCCATTTTGACGATTCTTTTTTGTTGGAAAGAGGGTACTGGCCCCATTTAAATTTAAAGAAAATATTCCACCTCTAAATGTGGCAAACTAGGGGTAAATCCGGTGTCACGCACTTTCGGGTAACCGATTTCAATAAAACTTAGCAAATAGAACTTAGAAATTCCACGAACTTTTGAGGTCGGTTTCTTTAGTATTCTGCACTGATTTGGTATTTCTAACCTATGTACGTTTTGAGAAACTGCAAGTGCATAGAGTTAAGTAAGAAATAAATAAATTCCCTGTACACTAAGCACCAGAGTAAAGGAATTTACTCCTAGGCACTTGAGTAACGAAACGTACTCTTTTCTTTGTATGCTTCTCCTGCTTCCTTTGTCGGTCGTCGTCGTGGTCCCTCGTGCCTTTTCGCCCCATAACGCCCAACAGCTTGCTGACTACGCTGCTCTTGCGGCTCTCGCCCGCTTCTACGGAATCGGGGGACTGCAACAACAATATTCAATGTTATAATGACACTGAAAAATCTACCTTCCTTAAACGAAACAAAAAAGCCTTAGGAATAACTGTGCACTAAGCATCTGCCATTAGTAAAAATCTTATAGTCTGTCTTTTTTGATGACGGATGAAATTTTAAATAGTTATGTAGTTGTTGTCGATAGTTTTATCGATAGATTGTGAAAGCAGTTACAATTTTGCCAAAAATGACTGACTTGTGAATGTTACGACGTTCTAATGATAACTAATTGCGTTATTGCCTTTTATTTTTGTTTTGACAGTTGGTCTACTAGTATCAAGATCAATTTTTATTCATATAAATTTTAACATGAATTGTCGGATTTGATTATAAATATTGAATTAAAATGAAAATCTTTAAAATATGCCTCTTCTTTGTATTTTTCATATACATAGTTCTAAATACAGTATAATATGTGAACTTACAAAAATTGACAATTCAAATGAACTTGTGCTCTGTGATTGGATGAATAATGGGTCGAGGATGATTCAAATGAAACAAGTTCAGCTATTTATTTCATAAGCGTGACTAATATTCCGTCGACAATCGATAGAATCTTTATCGACTGCAATCACTAGCTGCTTGCAAGCGGGCAACACTTTTGCGCAGTGAACTGTCATTTTACTCCGTCTTCAAAAAAGACAGACAGACACTATCTATAGTGCAAAACCGCGCGCTACACTTTTCATTTAAGTTTCAAATCGAACTGACAGCGCAAATTTAAAATTTTTACAAGATAAATTGGACATAGTTATGCAAACAAGAGCCAACCCACACCTCGAATGAAATTGAGTTACGTATTTAGGTAGAACACCAGACGTGTCCTTCACCCGTTCACAAAAGATCCTGGCAATATACCAAGCCAAAACGGAGAAAATAAAAGTCCTCCAGGGTACCAACCCTAAATAAGTAACTTTTTAATGGCTAAAAAGAACCATGCTGCTTAACTTCATATTATAATGTATTTTTTTAAATATACTAAATGGATCCATATCATATGTAGTACTGTAGCTCTTTAGCGTTATCATTACGAAAACTAGAACATGGTTCTCGTTAACTAAATAAAAAGATACATAATGTTTTCTATTTATTGCTATATAATATAATAGTTTCCCTATATCATTCTCAATGCTATCCGTAACTCACATTGTTTGTCTCAAATAACTTACCTATTTATTTCTTCACACTGTTTTTACAAAAATCTAATTATCTCGAAAGTGACATTTTGTGGGTTGGTTCTAGTTTGCATAACTATGTCCAATTATACAAGCGTGCAACAAGATCGGGGATTCCTTCTTAGGTAAAGTCGAAGCGTTAAGGCACGACTACACGGTCGAACATCACAGCGAGTAAATTGGGCGGCCAATTGCTCTTTCATTGGGAAGTTAATTCATATTGAACTTTATAGGAAGAGTATGAACATACGTCATAAAAATGTTTAGCGTTACGTACACATTTCGACGCCGTCGTGTTCTCCGCTTCATGCAATTATATTTTTTAATTAATGTATAAAATAATCGTTTGAAAGAACTTTTTAAAACACCGGACGTGGTCAAATATTATGATAATCTGCGGTTTATGATATTCGACATCCGTATTTTTGCATATCTAATAAGCAAGACCAAGACCAAATGTACTGACGCAAGACCATGTGTTCTAACGCAAGACCAATACTGGGTTAGTTTGTCGTTTCGGTCTTGCATTTGGGCAACACTACAAATACCTAAAGAAAGATAACAAGAGCGTGCCGTGTAGTCTTTGCTTGGATTTTTAAATAGAGGCGTTAAGGCCGGGATACCCGGACGCGTTTTGACGGGAGTAAATTTGTACAAGCCATTTACGCGTTAGTATGGGTCATGGATGCCTGTAACGCAAAACGGTACCGGTTTCGTGCGGCCCACACCGCAACGATGGTCCTTGAAGGGGCAGTCGAAGCTACATTTGATCAAGTGGTATCTTTAAAATAAAGAATGAAAGTCAGAAAGATACTTTCGCGGGCCTTGAAGCCGCCATCTTAAAGTAAACCGGAGATTAGTTCACATTTTGATGTCATCAAAACTTTTCTCCTCAATCAAATTTTAGTAACAGTCGAGCTCCTTGTGAAAGAGTTCGTCTATTTCTACTAAGCAGTAATGTGAGCATTACTGCGTTCTGGTTTAGAAGGGTAAGGGTGCTGGTGAAATTACAGGCACATGGGACTTGTCAACTTATGTCTCAGGGTGACGGGCGCAGTGGTAGTGAGATCTAAGTTCTTTGCGATTTAAAGCTCTGAGTGGCTTTGCAACTGCTATGGACAGGCGTGTCGCTTACCACCAGGTGCACGACTTGTTCGTCCCGCCACTTGGTATTACAGCATGAGACGTAGCTCAGGTAGCGTAGCGAGAGATACTTTTAAATATAAACTGGGATTATCTTCATAAATAGATATTTATTACGTATTTTACATATTGATTCGTGGAAGCTTCTTCTAGAACTGCCAAGATGTTCTTCTTTTTTCTATCCTATTTTTTTAAATACATTCCAAACACAGACCTATATTCATTCAGCCAGTATTTCTACTCATAGAGTAAGCCTAGACTACATCGCAATTCTAGAAGAAGCTTCCATGAGTCAATAAGTAAAATACGTAATAAATATCTATTTATGAAGATAATCCTAGTTTTATATTCAAAAGTATCTCTCGCAACGCTACCTGAGCTACGTTGCGAGAGGTACTTTATAAATCTACTCTATGAGTAGAAATACTGGCTGAATGAATATAGGTTTGTGTTTGGAATGTATTTAAAAAAATAAGATAGAAAAAAGAAGAACATCTTGGCAGTTCTAGAAGGAGCTACCATGAACCAATATGTAAAATACGTAATAAATATGTATTTATGAAGATAATGCCAGTTTATATTTAAAAGTATCTCTCGCTACGCTACCTGAGCTACGACCTAAGCTATAGTATTACAAAAAAAGAAAATCGAACTTCCTACTTTCAAACACATTTTTGTACAGCAAGTACTTCTTTATTTTCATCACACTTGCTCGTGAACAGTGTCGTGACATGCAGGCAAATTCGGCCGTAATGTCCTGAATTACGCCCACGGGCTTTTTCGTTACATTACCGCCCTTTTTAATTTAATTGCACTATACTTTTGTTACAAGTCAAGATTGGGCAAAAAATTTTTATAAGTTGCATAATTTTATAAATTCAAATTCTACAGTATTTTTATTATTATGAAATTATTTATTATAACTAATACCTCCATGCTGAATGCGTTTTTGACTTAACAAAATTTTAGTTCTAGTTGTATTATATCTATTGAAGAACAGCTGGCAATCTGTCTCTAAAAAAAATTTTAAATTTATCCGTAATTGTTTGTTTGTTGTTGTGTTGTGGAGCTTTTCCTGCCTTAAATAATTCTATTCGTTTCCTCGCAAATGTGATGAAAAACATGTATGCAGCACGTGCGGTAAAAAAATACACATCTAAGACATACAGAAATAAATATGTGGTCCTAAAAAACACTAAAATATAAAAAACAATAAGTATCGACTCTTACCTTAATATTATCAACTGAATCCTGTTTTTTTAAACTCTCATTTTTCTTAACTGCTTCAGTCTTCTTCGCTTCGATTTTCTCCTGCTTCTTCGCTTCCATTTTTTCCTGCTTGTCTAACTTCTCTTGCTTCTTTGCTTCGGCTTTTTCTTGCTTCGTTTCGATCTTCTTAACAGAGCCTGTTCGCTCAATTAGTTTCTCTTTTTTATCTTCTTGTTTCGTAATTTCTGGTATCGGTTTTTCTTCTTTCACTTCGAGTGGCTTCGGTTCCAATTTTTTTAACGACTCCTGTACACAGTAAAAAGCCAATTTAAATATATGTGAAGTGTGAAATCGGTTTCTTTTTTAATAAAAACGTTATAATGATCCAAACATGTCAACTTATGTCTCAGGGTGACAGGCGTAGTGGCAGTACCCCTCATATCTTTGCGATTTAAAGCTCTGACTGCTGTCTGTTGCCACTGCAACTGTCATTGACAGGCGTGTCAGCTTACCATCAGGTGCACGACTTGTTCGTCCCGTCAGTTGATATTATAAAAAACTGCGCCAGGACTAGCGACGTAGAGAATACTAATCTAACTTAAACCCTTACCATGAGTTTCCCATCATCAACCTATTTATACGTCCCACTGCTGGACAAAGATCTCCTCTCAGGCGAGGGTTTAGGCCATAGTCCGCCACGCTAGCCCAATGTGGATTCTTGACATATTTCCGGGGGTTGTGAACCTTCTTTGATGTGCAAGTTCCATCACGATGTTTTTATTCGATGACAACACACACACTTGCACACTGGCTTTCATGGTGTCGCCATCTCTGAGGTCCAAGGTTCGATCCCCGACCGGGCCGATATAGAAAAGCTTTTCCATATTGTCTCGGGTCTGGGTGTTTGTGGTTTCGTCGCTCTTTCCGATTTCCATGACACTAGTGCTTTAGTTACTTAGTTTGCGATCGGAGCAACGTGTGTGATATTTATATAAGTTGTCTAATATTTATTTGTTTATTTAAATTTCGCACATAAATTCCGAGGAACGCAATAGAGTAATATCCTTGAATATCGTATGCACGTGTATACACGAATTACTTAAACCAAGAACTTGGCAATGTCATACGATGGTACCATTGTTAACATACCTGTTTCTTCAATTCGGGCTTATCTTTCTTTTTCTCCTTCTTACTATCCTCGTCTTTAAGACTGGAGTCGGATCTTTTTATCGCCTTGTTCTGAACGGCTTCGGTCTCTGCAGGTTTCTTCTGGGATGCCTGAGACTTGTCTTCTGTCGTGCTTGCTGTTTCTGTGCTAGATCTGCTGTCATCTGTCAGGAGAACGATAGCAATAAGTGTTAATATACAGACCACAAACAAAGACAAAGTGTAAAAAAACTGATATTATTTAAAAAAATCAGTCTTAACCATCAGATGTATCCAATACCATATAATAATTAAAAATCACTGTAATAATGATACCATTTAATGTCTGCCATTCATTCAGATACTGTCTGCCTGTTCAGTCTGTATTTTTATCATTAAAGTCGAATATTATTTTATTCCCTTTCGATGGCGGCAATAAAAAGACATTAATTGGAATTTTTTATTCCATTTGTTACCACTGGCATCTACTGGGATATTTTAAATTCCATTTGTCACCAGTGACAACAACAGATCTTTTTTTTTTTCATTTGTCACCAGTGGAAATCACCACTGGCAACAACTGAGATTTTTTTATCCCGTTTGTCACCACCTGGTAACATATGGGTATTTTTTCCATTTGTCGCCAGTGGGAACAAAGCCAGTGGTGACGACTGGGAATACCCGAAAAATCACCTAAAGTTTAAACGTTACAAATATATGTGTGGATTGGATACATTTAAGAAACTATGAATTACCATAGCATTATGTATACAAGGTTGTTTGTAACACACTAACAAGGCTCACAGGCATATATTACTAACATCATCACTGAGACCGACGGAGCATGGCGGGGCATTTATTTCTGCATCTCAAAGCATTGAAATTTATACCTTATTTCAACTGTAATAGCATAAAATATAAACTGATAAAAGATTTGCACCGAATTAGTATAGAGCTTGATAATTTATTCCCAAAAAAATTTAACCAGCCTCAATTTTTTTGCTAGATATAAGCTTGAAACAAATAGATTAGCAAAATACTAAAAAAAATATTGTGGCCTGTATTTTTATTTGTTTATTTAAAACAAAAGTGTGGTAGATGTGTTAATTATTAATTCCATATTAATTCCAGCAACACTGCGATACTAAAAAAAGTCCAAAAAGCAGCAACACTTAAACTCTAAAGTATTCAAAATCATAATTCTAATTGGCTAATTTAATTGCAACAAGAGTGACTTTGACATCTAATGTGTCAATATTTTTTATGGCATTGGCCACTGGTCCATTAGCCAAAAAATTACATAAAAATCCGTTCCGTTTCGTGGGATTGCGTTCCGTTTTACTTTACATAGTATTAAAAATCCCTAACGATTTTCTGGAAATTGCAGTTCAAAAATAATTTGTTTTTAATTCAGACTTTCTAGATTTTGAGAGCTCTTTACAAAAAACCTACTAATACCCTGGTTAAATTTTCCATTTATTTCAGTACCACTAAAGGAACAAATCCTTTAATGTCTCTAAGTTCACAATTAATTTTAGTAATAGGCTGCGGTGAAGAAAGTTCTAAACTCTCTCACTAGATGTCAGTGGTTCAGAAAGCTGAAAGGTTCAGTACAAAGATCTTTAACAAAAACACATGGGAGAATTTCGACAACTCGATAACTTGACCCGAAACTCAGTTGGTAAGAGCAATACTACGGTGCAGTATGGTCGTGGGTTCAAATCTCATCGAGTTGAAAAAGCTGTTCTATGTATTCAATTTTTATGTTAATAATCATAATAAAAACTTGTGAAGTTATTTCACAATAAAAATCTCAATAATGCAATGCATAAGCCGGTCAGAAAACCTTTTTCAACACACTTTGTCGTAAAAAGTATGATTGCCACCTTGTTTTTATATATTAACTGTCCCAAATAAAACCCTCGAGCCTTTTTTCTTTCCATTACAGCCATGGCCAGTAAGAGTTTTTTTTATATTTGTAGCACGGCTTACATGGGTCTGGTTCAGTTCAAGCAAGGAGGTTACTTAAATTGAAAATTAAAACACGCTTAAAATGTTATCTAAACAAAAATGCAATTTAGCAACATACTACATAAATACTTATTATTAAGAATTTCTTACAATTGATTGAAATTATTTTCTGTATAAAAATTTTGCAGATTTTTTTTACAGTCTATCATGGCCGTATGCTTCTTTGCTTTTTACAGCATTTTAGTTTGAGTTGCATTATTATCTACGGAAGAATAGCCAACTGGCCATGTGCTGACAAAAAAAACAAAAATCCGCCAATTGCAATATCTAAAATTGTTGTTGTGGACCATATTTATTCATATAAGAAATACACATTGTATTTGTTTCCTCGCAAATGTGATGAAAAACATTGTATGTAGCGCGGGCGGTAAAAATTACAAGTCTCGAGTCATTAAAGCCCTCAGCCTTCGGCTTCGGGCTTGTTGGTAGTTTCGTACTTGCCGCCCTTAATACACAATGTACCTATTACTAATGTATAAGTAATTAAGTCGGTCAAAAAAATCTTTTGTGTTTATGTAATAAGAGCGAAAACGAAATTATGATATTCGCGTTGGTGATCCTAGCGGAAGCTAAACACTTAACGCGTTTTTGACTCTTATTGCACGGAGATAAAGCTTTTTTAGACCGGTTTAAGCCGAATCCGCGTTAATAAGTGTGGTCACTCAAGTACACTTTTTGGGAGCTACATACTTCATCATAACAAACTCATATAACATTGTTGTGTGGTGGCACTAACCGATTATATCTCTCGACGTATCCAAATTGGAAGCATCAGCACTAGTGTCAGCGACGAAGGATTCATCCGACAGAGACAGTGATGCGAATGACGTCGATGTATCGAAATGCGTCTTGTCCATGCTCGGTTTCGGCGAGGATGTGAAGATGTTGGGGGGCGTCTGTTTCGCCGGAGTTCTGTGGGAGAATGATTTTTTTTAACGCAGACACTCATAGCCTTACACTAGGGAAACCCTGTATCACGGGTGCCATGGATGTTACCATGGCATACATAGACAACCACATATTACATCCAAACTCCCGAAAAAAATAAATGTAAGCCTTAGAAATATTTCTCCCGGCCCGAGAATCGAACCTCTGCGTGGCAGTCTAGCATGGTAACCGTTCGGCCAGCGGTCGGAAGCAATTTTGGGGATATTTTGTAACTGCATGTATAATTAGTACATTAGTTAAACTTGTACGTACATCGAGTATATAACCAGAAATAGAGACGAAATGTTCATTTGATTTGTTTGAAAACTATTCTGCCAAATTATTACTGTGATAACTGGGCATCGATTGACCAGCCCAAATTCGAAACAATTGACGGGTGTCGTCAATTGTTTTAATTGAATCCACCCGTTTAATTTTGCTATAATGGACAATTGCATATTTAGTATTTAATTACCGATGAAATGTGCTTCCGCTTGTTTCGTAATCAGATGTTTTGCTGTCTTTCATACAGCCCGAATGGAACAGCCCCCCAATGTTAGAAATATTACCTTTATTACAATAAACACAGAATATTTTTTGGAATATACGGAGACGTACACACAGGTCAGTTGTTGGCGCGGTTCTAGCTTTCTAATTTGTGATTTCAGTGCAAACGAGAGTTGATATTTAAAAGTGATGATATAAGTCCCATTTTCCTGATGAGTCGCCAGGGATGGATGGCCCTTATTTCGTCTCTATTTCTGGTTATGTACTCGATGGATACATATGACTGAGCACTGCATACAGGTTCAATGACAGTTCTCTATGTAATAGTTTGATAACGTGCCAATAGATGGCGTCTCTAAATAATCCTTGAATTTTTCTATGGGCATGGCAAGAACAATCGAAGAATACTAATGGTTGCAAGTGGGATTTGAGAGTGGGATATGGGCTACACTAGTCAATGACGCTTGCTGTTGCATCGTGTTTAAAAACTTGGGCATTAATATTAAAAGCAGTACACAGAGTTGAAATTATCTTTGAAGGTTACAATTTTCCGTTTAGAACTATTTTGCCATCCTGAAACTGTCATGTCATGTTGAAAATTGATAAGCAAAGTTCACTAACCTGTTAGGTAGTGACCTGGAATGATGCGTAGGCGAATCCTTCTCCTCGGCGATGCGCGGCAGCGGCGGCTCGTCGGGCTTGTCCTGAGGCGGCGGCGTGGGCGGCGCGGGCGCAGGCGCGCGCCACACCACACCGCGGCGCGCCGACGGCACGGCCACGGCCACGCCCACGCCGCCGCAGCACAGGGGGGAGATTGAGCACTTTGATTCCGCCGACCGGGGGTGTAGTCTGTTTCAAATGTCAATTTATCAAATAGGCTGATGATGTCGACGCTGTGGGTATCCATTTTCTGTCTAATTTAAACTACTGTCATCTCTTTCGAAATAAGATGCAGTAAGATGAGGCAACACTACAAAAATTAATAATCAATCTGATTAAATCAATCTGAATCCTTCAAATAGCACACTCAACAATAAACTGAAGAAATTCGACAAGTAACATTTTTTGGAAAGGAATAACGTAGATTTAAAAAATCTTACGTGTCACCAACCAAATTATGTAGGTAAGAAAAAAAAGAAAAAGTAGTTTATTTGGTAACATTGATTTACATGTGGCAAAATAATAAAACACAAAATAAAAATATCAAAATGGGCTCCACTTCGCTTTGTGTAACGAAACATTAAAAAGCCGGCCGGGTTTTGATTGAAGCCAGTTAAATGTTTCGTAAAAATAAAACATAGAAAAAGACAAAATAAACTTGGCTAAGTGCAAATCAAAAGTAATAAAAAGACACAACAAACATTCCTACGATCCAACTGGACTCGAACCAGCGTCAGTTGCCTCAAGTTGTTGAGGCAGTTGCCTACGTTATAAGCTGACCATTTTATTCGACCTTCATATTACGAAATAACGAACCAGTCTCTTCTAATCACCACATCGCATGCATTTCTGGTTTCAAAAATAATCTATCAAACAGTTATACAGTGTAAGAGTCCATAAAATCCTACTCTACTATGCTTTTATAAAGGGTGTAATTGTGAAGTGTGCCCAGGCGATTATTCCATAAATATAAGAGACATCAAAAAGCTTTAAACTGATATCAAAAGTACGTTACCTAATGAGTAAATCGACATCAATAACTTTTTTTAAATGAAACTAGAAATGTCCAAAATGTTAACATTATACGGTTCGATATATTTAATATGACATTCGTAGAGGCTTTACTTTTCCTTTTCCTTGTATTGAAAAGATCCAGTTCAAAAGTATTACATAAAATGTCGAAATTATTGCTTCACGTTCTGCCTGTAATTAGTACGGGCCGGCCGGGGGTAGAACCAAAAGTGAATTGTTTCTAAGATACTTAGAGCGAATTCTCAGTGATACTTGTGATAGTAATTCCGGACAGTCAATAGAGCCCGATGCTATTTTTAATGAAAACTTTTAAGCCAGTAATATCGCGACGAATTTCAAGTGGTTATAATAATTGGAGAATTGTAACAGTCATTTGTTCGGTAACACAGAAAACGATTAAACATTTTTTTGTATATTTTAGAGATGAAACGGATAGTGATTATCCGGATACCGGATATGCGACGAGCAACAAGGCCGGATAGCCGGATATCCGGCTCTCCGGCCGCCGGATATTTGACCCACTGTCGCAAACATTTCGCGACCGGTTTACAGCGCGCATCGGCGTGATTGATTGATTAGTGAATGATTGCACTTTCACATTGACGACTTGATTTGTTGTGGTCACTGGGTTTTTGTTAATAGGATAAAATTCGATAATATAATACAAACAAATACACAACAGACGAATATCAACAGTGAAAACAAATTGCCAATGTAGCAATATTTTAATATCAGTGCGGTTTCTTTTTGTGCCGAATGCAAATACAGTTATTCTAAAAGTATGATTTATAATATAAGCTTAGCACGTGTTACAGCCGTTAGTCTTTTGTTTCAATTTCATGTCATTAATTTATTGTTTATGATCTAACTAATCTGAAAATTGGTACCAGTTTTGCTGAAAAAAGAATTTCTAAATCTACTTACACCTTTCATTATTCTTAGTACACATTGTTTATGAGAATACAGAAGATCGATTATTATTTGAAACAGTTCGAAACAATCGTGATTGCGATTATTTAATTAGGTGGTCTGATAATATTAATCAGTACCTAAATGTAACAAAGTTTATACTTATAGCAAAAAGCTGTCCTCTGAAGCTGTCACTGAATGAAAATAAACGGAACCGACTTTTACTACTTAACACAGAAAAACTTATCTTCATCCACCATAATTTGCCTTTATTAAATTTACAGATTATGTTAACTTCTAATTTATTACAGTTACAAGTAATGAACAGATTGTCAACGATCGTTCCCATTTATCCTATTACTATCCTCTTTAATTAATAAATCAATATAATTTGGCGTACTGATTGTGAATTTTTTTCAGTATTCGATATTCGGTACCCGGCCGGATATTGTTCTACTATCCGGTATCCGGCCTAATTTTACTATCCGGCTGGATACCGGATATCCGTTTCTTCTCTAGTATATTTTCAAACCGGGAAATGTAAATATGATGCAGGTACATAACATCAAGACCATAAAGCCCATTTAGAAAAGCAAATATCCTAAATTAACGCAGTTTCGGCTATTAAAGCGATGGTAGCGTTGCAACACCGAATGAGTGAACACGGTACCTGTCCGGCGACAACGCTCTCCTGAGCAGCGGCGAGGCGGGGTCCCGCCGGGCCCACGCGCGCCGCCCGCCGCACTCCCGCGCAGCCAAGGGCGACGGGCTCCGAGCCTCGCACCGGCTGTTGTTAGTCACGGGTGATGGACAATGGGGTCACTTCGCGAGTAAAGGTGCCTTACGGTCGCTTTTGAGGCGGTATATGATTAACGTGACCATACGTCCCACTTTGAACGGGACAGTCCCGCTTTTAAGCTTCGTGTCCCGCTGTCCCCACAATACTTAAAGTGTCCCGCTTTGACAAAACAGGGCAAACGTGATAATATTTGTTAAGCCTATCAGACTACACGTGATTAATTATTTAAAAAAAATGTTTGATCATTGAACTTGTTCTTTTTAACCGGCTTCAAAAACAGAGAGGAGGTTCTCAATTCGATTGTATGTATTTTATATATGTTACGCGATTTGTGGACAGATTTTAATGATTTTTTTTTTGTTGGAAAAAGGGTACCTCAGGAGTGGTCCCATTTAAATAAATTTCAAGAAAATATTCCACGCCTAAGGGTGGCAAATTAGGCGATGAGTAACTTTTGAGGTCGGTTTTTTAGTACTCTGTACTGAGACTATATAATTTTTATTTTTTTATAATCATTAAAGATTTTATAACTATCATAAACATTAGCTTTATGTTTAAAACAATTATAAATATACAGGCGTCCCGCTCTTAGGGGGAAAAAATAATGATCACGTTATAAATGAAATACGAAATGTCAAGCGTTGAGCCCCTGAAGCATTCGCCCTTAGGCCGCCATAAGGTACCTTTACCTTAGAGACATTTACATTTAAAGTGAACGCATATTTGTCAGTGTATACATATGCCGTGATTTAGAGTGGTTACACACTGCGATTGCATTGATACAAACGCGCGATTGCATAGATGCAGTCGCGCGCTTGCATTGCTGCGTAAAATCGCGCGTGTGTGTAAAGGTAGACGATAAGCGATAGCATCGCTCTTAAAGTAGCGTGGTATTCAGAAACACGAGATACTTTTTTTATATAGATTTTTTTTTACATTGTAATACTGCCTTTCACTATATCCTAATAAAAAGATAATATATATCCTCCTATCTAAAGTATGTCGGATACTCTCCATAAGAGCGTTGCTTACCCAGAAAATTTTAAAAAATAACGCCTATCCAGAAAAATTTACAAACTATCTTTATCACTGGGCCATTATAATATTCATAATTATTATGATGCATATTTCCGATGTAATTTTTGGATTTTTTGCTACTGTAGTCAAAAAGTTAGGGTCGAAACGACCGATTAAAAAGGCAGTGACTAACAAACAGATAGGGTAAATGTGCCCTAAAAAGGACTATTTGCAACATTACTTATTAAGTTAATAAACCACATTACCCTCTTTCAATGCAAACGTTTCGCTTCTCAATAATCAACAAAACTGACAACTGTAACAGTATTTAAACGATGTTTTCAGGTTAAAAATTTCACTCGGCGTACAACTAGTTAGCCAGCGTAAAACATACGTCTGCAAGGAAACTTTCGATGGTACTTATCCTACAATGTACCTCACTCCACCGTATAATTATTTCTAGTGAGTATGAAAATATGGTATATCCTAATAAAAAAAAATCCTTATGGAGAGTATCCGGTTAATCGAAAGAAGCAGTAAAACTCTTTGTGAAAGAGTTCGTCCAGGGAAGTCCTGACACCGTACCGATTTCCGTCCCCAAGCAGTAATGTGAGCATTACTGCGGTCCGGCTTTGAAGGGTAAGTGTGATCAATATTTTCATACTTGTAATTTCAGTACTATATACCAGTGAAGATTTACCCCTGTTTGTCTGCGTACTACACGCCATTATGTTATTACTATGTTATAGAATGACCCACAGTTAGCATTGAGTATATATACCTCTCAATAAAAAATACATAGACAACAATGGACAGCAAAGACTAAAACATAGGTTAAACTTTGTGAACAGTTACCAATATCTAATCTTCTCTGTTATTTTGTCGTGCATACGCAAATGAGTATTTTTTTATGACATCAAGTGATGGGACGAACAAGTCGTGCACCTGGTGATAAGTGACACGCCAGTCCATATCAGTAGAAGTGCCACTCAGATGCTTTCAATCACAAAGATTTGAGGTCACCCAGAGACTTCAACTTGACAAGTCCCATGTGCCTGTAATTTCACCAGCACCCTTACCCTTCAAAATCGGAACGCAGTAATGTTCACTTTAAGAACTCTTTTACTGCTACTAAATATATGGAAATGCAATAGTAGTTCTCTCTGAAGAGGCCGATGAGCTTACTCAATTTATATTACGGCGGAACGGAGTGGAAGCGAATTTTTTTAACGATATTGTACATAGCATAATGAACGTTATGGTCAATTGTCAATTGTATTAAACTGCCTCTGTGGCCGAACGGTTACCATGCCGGACAGCCACGCAGAGGTCCCAGGTTCGATTCCCGGGCCGGGAGAAATATTTGTATGGCCTACATTTATTTCTCTCGTGAGTTTGGGTGTAATTTGTGGTTGTCTATGTGTGTGTCCATGGCACCCGCGACACAGGGTTTCCCTAGTGCGGTGCTATGTTGATTGTGAGCGTTGATTGTGAGCGTTAATTGTGTAACGTGCAAACTAGGAACGAGCCAAAATCGTCCGCGGAAGGCGCGAGCATTCTCGAGCATGCAGCAGAGAATTCCGCGGAAGATGACCATTCCCTTCCGCCGCAATAGAAATAGAGCCTCAAAGCATCAATAACATATATACGAGTACTACAATATCAATTATATAAATATAGGTGTCAGTACATTAGTAGGAGCACAAGGATATATTTATCCTTTTGGTCTTATCGGTGTGAGCACACAGTAGGAGCAAAAGTAGTAGTTAAAAAAATATTGCAGTTCGACAATACATTGCTTCAACTTATATGCGATGTAGATGTGCACTTAATTACCCGCTACATTGACTTACAATTATATGGACGTCGGGTCCGCGCTAAAAAGTGTCCGCACTTGTAAGGCGCTAAAATCGTATACAGAGCGCCAAACTCCGCTTTAGTCTTCATTTGTTCGACTGACAGCGCGATACTGCGATGACATTACAATTTAAATTTCGAATAGGTTGACTTGGGACATTTTTTTCGTGGTTTTTGTATTAGACCCGTCGTCCATTTATTTGTAAGTCAATGACCCGCTATGATTTTTTTGTTGAGTCATAGAGAATGAATGCGCTCACATTCTCGTTATTATATTAAATTATGGCCTAAGGGCAAAATTTCATCTGAAGGCACCTTTACTCGTATGTCGACACAACCAGTTAAATGCATTATTAAATTATAGACCCAGACATACACATGTAACATAGATCCCGTATGCGAATGATAAAGGTTTGATAATGCCAATGGTTTATGAAATTTCTGAATGCTTTATTATTTTACATATGATAATTTTTTACTATCACCAATATCATTCAAACCAAAAATCCCATTATATCTACATATACAATTGTTTCGAATGTAGCAGAGTTGTAATTACATATTTTTTTAGATTTAAAGGTAATTGCTCACCTGGTTGGCGATGCGGGCTGCGGCTGCGGCTGCGGCGAGGGTGTGCGCGCCAGCGGCGACAGCGGCATGTGCTGCAGCGACGCACGACGGACTTCAGCGCCGGAAACCAGCTTATGTTTCAGGCCGTGAAGAGAAGATGGCCTATAGACACCAAACATCGTTTATTTCTTTAAAATAATTTAGAATTCACTATAATTAATATGTATACTTATACATGAATCAAATGCCTCTCCTAATACGAAATAAGTGCAGCATTTAAGATGCTAATAATGAATTAGACTTGAATGGACAAAAGTTCCTACGGCAACGGACTACGTGATAGGAATGAAAATTGTCTGTGATTTTTTTTCGTCCTTTACAAATTCCGCACCAAACGTTGAAAGAGAATCTTACTTGATTTTTATTTTTTATTTTTTTATTTATTTACCTTAAATCCTATGCGAGTGTAAACGAGTTGAAGGCTGAGGTTCAGAATACGATTTGTAATACAATTCATCACAACACGTTATTAAAAGTTACTCAAAATGAATTCGTTAAAAGATTAAATTTGTGTATCCAAGAAAATGGAGCTTATTTCGAGCAACTAATTAGTTAGATTACCATTTTTTTTCATTTTATTAAAATACGTTAAAATTTCATGGTTTTTTTTTTCATTTAATTAACCAATTTTGTGAGAGAGATTTTATTCTTATAATTAACCCTATTGATCGATGCAATAAAAGTGCATTTTTTTCAGATTAAAGCGGATTCGATTCCCGCGTCTTGCTAGAAATTTTGAAAAACCTATGAAAGCAATTTTATTTCTTTTAAAAAATAAAGGAATGTTTCCTTTAAGTAAAAATTTCTATCTTCCGTACTTAGAGTACTTTCCCTCCAGGCGGCTTTACAAATTTCCACCCTGTATAACTGTGTTACATCTAAGTTAACGTCTGTGTATGTATTTGTCATGGTGGTGAATAAAGATTTTATTTATCTATCTCAATAAAAATCTTTCTCCTGTACTCCGTAATGAATACCACAAGAAACTAAGAGTTTACATCACAGTAAGAGAGCACATTTTATTTCAAAAAGGCATAAGTGTAGTATCGTGCAAGAATTTTTCCGCGTCTATCTCACACGCTTCAAAGCCTACGCAAGCACGATACCATTTCGCCTTAAATAATAAAACAGAATGCATGGTATGTAACCTCTGATAATGCGTAGTTGTGTGTAAAGGACTATCAGTTGCGGGGGATGAGGAGGCAGGTGACGATGGGCAGTCCCCGCTTCCGCCCGACACCATCTGTTACGAAATCAAGATTTTAGTGCAATCTGTAAAGGTAAAAAGTAAAAAACAACGGGAAAGAGAGACAGAAAATGGAAGAGAAAGAAAAGATCGATATGAAACAGTAAGTGCGCATTTGACCTCCATCTCACCTGATGGAAAGTGACGATGAGGTCGGCGATGTAGCATGCACACCTAAATAATGGCTATTCACTCTCGCCTTGAAAAAATCCAAGTTATAGCGTTCGAGGAACAAGTCCACAGGCATTTCATTGGGAATTTCACTCCATAGCAACTGGCCATAGAAATGTGGAAGCGATACGCTTCGTACGACTCCTGGGAATATCCACAACATAAGAGTCGAACCCCAGCCCACATCTAGTGGACTTGGGAGTTCCGATGATGGAAAGGGTAATGCGGAATCAAATAATGAATTCAAAACAAAAAATTCGCAGGTAAATTGAGAGACAATCAAAATTGCAAAATTTTGTTGCATTATCCAGGAGCTTACCTGATGCATCTCCTGCGAAGCTCGTTTGGTGGATATTCTCCTGAAAAGCGAACATCTTCGTCGAGGTCGCGGCCGCGGCGGCGCAGACGCCCGTCTGCCGCAGCCCACGCGCCGTCGCCCGCCCGTCTATATTCATTATTGACATATTTTGTGAAAAAATAACTCGTCTAGTTTTGTTATGATTATGAATACAAAGTTCGAACACACAGAATTTCGACGGCTCGGAACTGGACTCGTGGCTCAGTTGGTAAGAGCAATGCTACAGTGCAGCATGGACGTGGGTTTAAGGCCCACCGAGTTAACGAAATTTTCCTGTGTGTTATTCATATGTCTTGACTTAATTTATCACAAACAGTTCGTAATTATCCACCAGTTGAAAGGTGAAGATGTAGACAAGGAAAGCACATGTTTGTCTGGATAATGACTAACCATTCTGACCTTAAAGTTTGTCCAGATTGTATCGTTCGTTGAAAGCATAACCCGATAAAGAATTCTACCTTATCTATTCGCATAAAAACGTGGTAGTGTACACAATTGGTTTAGAGTCAATGCAACGTTACCGGACTGCCACGGACAGGTCTCAGGTTCGAATCCCGGGCTGCGAGAAATATTTGTATAGCCTATATTGTATTTCTCTCGTGAGTTTGGGTGTAATTTGTGGTTGTCTATGTGTGTGTCTATGGCACCCGCGACACATGGTTTCCCTAGTACCATGTTGAGTGTGTGCGTTATTATTATTAAAAAAACTTGTAGCCGCCAGATCCAAACAGGAGAATCTTACCTGAATAGTGGTTTGATCGAGCGGCGTCGCCCGCACCGTCGCATGAGGTGCAGCTAGCAGCAACCTCAGGACCTAAAACATGTTTTATTATTGT